CTGCCGAGGACCCCCTTGAGGAGCGAGCAGCCGGCTATTACAGGGCCACATCTGACGCGGGCGGGCTGACCGGGTGCAGATGGCAGAGCGGCAGCGGCGAGGGGACGGTCAGTGACGGGCCCCCTGATGGCCGCGGGCCCTCGGTCCGTGCCCGACTGCCCAAATGGTCAGTCCGCCTCTGCTTGGTGCTCATCCACATTGCGGCCCTTGTGGCAGTGCTGGTAGCCAATCAGAGCAGCTCAAGTGTCTGGAGATAGAGTTGAGCTTCAGAAAGCTGAAAGCAAGATCCTGCCTAAAAAGTAATCCATAGTGCATTTTTTTTGCCTTCCTCTGGATCAACAGTGGGTAATTGTGGGCATAGGCTTTCTTTTCTTTCTTTATTTTATATAGGTTAAACTCGATGGACATGTGTCAACCTGACTAACTATGTAACTATGCATGTTGACTCATACAGATATATAAATCAATGTCTGTGTGAGTTGAGATGTTTACTATGTAAAAAGTCATTCATTCAGTGAGACCGAAGGCTGAGGTCATTCTACACCACCAATGCCTACACATTGTTGGTGCATACATCACCCCCCTGCCCGGAGTTAGTCATTCACTTGGCAGCAACAGCGACACAGGCACAGAATGACCTTGGCTTTCAGTCATTCTGAATGAATTCCAAGGTCATTCTGCACCTGCACTGCCACTGTCTTTATATTGTTTATCTCTTCCTGGGCCTTAATTCACTAGGCAGCAACAATGACGCATAGAGCCATGTCCATCTATATGTTACGAGTGCAAACGTTTGCATAAATGTTTAAATGTGCACCACGTAAAATGCGTTCAACGGACGTAGATTTTTCTGGTTTTGGTTCATGCAATTAAGCACTGCGGACCAAATCGCAGTTGTGTGAATGGGCCTATAGCATACAATGCGGCTGCGTTCAGATGCGTATAAAACTGTAAGCAGTATGGATCGGAACACATCGGATTATATGCTCATGTGCACGAGTCCTTAATGTGGGGGGATTTTATTGATAGTGATCGAGATTTCCCAAATTGTACACTTCTTTTTATACTAGCACAAAACTTCATTGCTGGTGAAGGAAATAGTATCAGCGATAAACTGATCACCCTGGAAGTCGTGTCTCCGGATGTCCCAGACCTGACGCTGATCGATCTCCCAGGAATTACACGGGTCGCTTTACCTAATCAGCCTCCAGATATTGGACGTCAGGTTTGTTTCAATACGTTCTATAGATACAAACAATGTAATGAAATAAAGAAACTACAAGTTACAAATATACTTGAAGCTACCTTTAGGTCAGAGATTTTAAAGAAGAACTAATAAATATACCAAATATCTGAAGGGCTTTGTCTTAACATTTGTCTTATTAGCTGCTACAGTTAATCAAGTCCTCAAACCATCCACTCATGCTTAATAAGTAACAATAAATATCTCCAGCGCTTATTATACCCTCATACATCTCTGTGACCCCCTTTATATGTCACAATATAATCAACAATAATCAAATAGTTTTTTGTTTGTTGTTGATTGGTGCTGGGCCGCAATGCGTCATGCTTCTCAATGGTGTCTCCATTCCTTGTTTTGGGCAAGCACCTGCTGACCGAGATAAGTGTTGTCAGTCAGTGTATTTGTCTCCTTGTGAGCCAAGTGGTTGAACAGCGGTGGGGGGAAGGGAAGTGCACTGTCAACCATGCTAGATCAACATCATTACCACCTAAAAAAAGACAGGACAAAACTCTACCTGCACTTTGTTCTCTGGAGACAGGAGTAACTAACAAAAAGTGAAGTAAGCAGTGGTGTCCCTAGCGTTTTTGCCGCCTGAGGCGGGGTGGGGGGAGTTGGTGGTGCTGGTGCTCGCAATCAGAGCAGTGGGAGGTGGGCAGAGTAGACAGCGGCACCAGACAGAAGAGTGATGCCACCCTCTGCAGGCTCTGCATCTCCCCATCTGGCTTTTAGCAGCCTGGGACGCCCTGGCCTGTGTCCTGCCCTAGTGTCGGCAACCAGTGATGTCACTTGTTGCCAAAAGCTGGGTGGGACGCCAGCCAGAGCGTCCTCGGCTGCTTAGAGCTGGGTGGAGAGTTGTTTATGGCCCTTACACATCTCCCCACCCGGCTCTTAGCAACCTGGGATGCTCTTGCCAGAATGGGGGTGGAGCAGAGTGGCAAACATGCCGCTTTGCCTGCCCCCCCCCACGTGACCCAACAAGATGTCCCCTGAGGCAACAGCCTCAGGCTGCCTCATTAAAGGGACGACCCTTGTAGTGAGACTTCCTCTTTAATAACACTGTTCATAATTTTTATGGGAACGTTCCCATAAACATTTTAGAGGACATGCAGTTTTTCCTCACTTTTGAGAGATTTCTTCTTACCTCCTTATGTGTCTTTGAAACAGGAAGTGAGGGGAAATCTTCACTATGGGACACTGACAGCGAAAAATAAAAGAGGTTATAACCATCCTCTATTCCTAACTTTAAAAAGTTTTGGCTTTGGATATACTGTACTCCAGCCAACGTTCCCAAAACTTGCCATACAGACATGGCATATAGAAGCAAGCTTGTCCTTTTTGTTTGATTATATTCTGACTGAAAAAATATCCTGTTTCCACAGATCAAGCTGATGATCAAGAAGTACATTAGCAGACAGGAGACCATTAATCTGGTCGTGGTCCCCAGTAATGTGGATATCGCAACCACTGAAGCTTTAGAAATGGCAAAGAAAGTGGACCCCGATGGAGAGCGAACACTAGGTACTGTAATGTTACATTTCGATGGGAAGGGGATACCTTACAGCAATCTGTACAGTTTCTGTGTAAAAAGTGACTATGTAATGTTAGTGCTTCCCAAGCAATTCATTTAATTTCTATCCAATCAGGTGTGCACTCGTGTTACATAATACAAGCTGGAATTGCTTACTCTGGTTTGACTGCACACTGTGAGCTTGTGCATTGCGCATTAGAAGCTGCAGCAAGTCAGATACAACCTGCCTCCTTTCCTGGCTGGAGGATATCCAGCATCTTCTAGCTCTTTCCTCCCCAACCTGACTGTTCTTGGCCCACCATATTGATTCAGTTTTTTTAACGATGAAAGCTCAACATCTCATTGTGGTGTTACCTACGGTGGTTTACATGCACCCCCAGGGGTCCCTTCTTCATCAGGCAAATGTTTCTGTCATGAAGGGACTACGCATGAGTTCAGGTTTGGGACAGAACCTGGTCTGAACCTGAGCTTCACCCGAACACGGAATCTCTTTCTATGTCACCCAATTAGCAACTGGTGGTATTTCCTCACCCGCAACTTGACATAAGACATAAGGGGCAGGATGCAATGACGCCATTGACCTTATATGGCTATATTTGGTAAATGACACAATAATCAAGCATTGATGCGGGCCAGGGAATGCTCAGGCTGCAGCTGATTGGATGCAGGTGCCAATGATCTGTGGTCCAAACCTGAGCACATCTCTAGGAGAGACCCCTCAAGGCTCAGAAAGGTTGCTCATTCTTGTATGACATGCTAAACAAACCATCAATAAAGATGGATCTTATTGCAGAAGAATAACTAGTGCTGGCAGTGATAAATTGTCCCCCACACCCCCTCTTTGGTGTCACTGTCCAAAATCAAAATATTCCCTTAATATCGGTGCTCAGTGGTGGTCATTTGGATGCAGAATGCAGACAGTGAACTGGGGGGGAAGGGGGGGGCTAGTAGCACAATTGGTCAAAAATGGGACAGCTTCACTTTGCCTTTTGCGATCCTTATCAACATCAATTGAAAAGATTTTGGGTGCCACAACTGCTACCTTGACTAAGGTCCTATTCTGCCTTAATTCATTTCTAAACACACCCCATGTGGGTGGCATAATTTGTACACCATATTTTACAGGGATTCTCTCTAAGCCCGACCTGGTTGACAAGGGAGCAGAAGCAGATATTGTTGACGTGGTGAAAAACCTGTCCTACCCACTGAAGAAAGGCTACATGATTGTGAAGTGTCGCGGGCAGAGTGAAATTCAGAGCAAACTTTCCTTAAAAAATGCCATAGACAACGAGAAGGCTTTCTTTGAAAATCATGAACATTTCAGGTAATGTTGATGAACCTCCAGCTGCCCCTATTTTGCTATTAGCTGAGAGAGCCAACTAGTGGTTGTCAACTTAGGTCCTGGTGGTTGTTGTACCTAATATTCAGTGTATGTAATGCAACAGAACAGTGTCAGAGACAGCAGACATACTACAACAGATGGCCATATGATGTGGACATGCTACAGGTCAGAAAACATGCTACAGGCCATAAATATGCTATAAGAGTCAGTCAGAGATTGGACTTGCAGACATTAAATGAGACTGTTACAGATAACTACTATTATTGACCCTTTACCACTAACACTAATGGCTTTTGGAGTGTAAAGGCCACACAGCAAGCACCAAAGGGGGCACCAGGGAGCTAGGGAAATGGTACAGAGCATTTAGGACTGTAGCTTGTTAAAGGTGCTCCCAGTATCTGTTCTTATGTTCCATATGTTTGAAATGTGTTTTTAGCTGTTTGACTGGAGTTGCCTTGTAACAAAAACGGATCTGATTTTTGCCCATATATGAAAAAGACTGGAGAGAATCTTGGGTAAATCTAATGATGGGCTTTAAAAGGATTTCTCACTGGAAATGCTCCATATAGTAATGTGGAGATGACTCTGTCATCTTCTTCTAAGCAGCAGTGTCACAGTAAATTTGTAGTACTTAGTGGATGAGGGTCTCACCATTCAGACATCACATCATTCCTTCACTATACCAGATTTTATCACCAGAAAGAGCGGCAGGAAGTCTATAATTGCAGCCCGGGGTTCTGATAAACCTGGTGAAGCCAGACGTGCGACTGGATTTCTCCATAAGCAATAGGAAACTGTGGACTAGAATGGCAGCACTGCCAGGAACAGCACATGGACACCCTCTAGAGCAGGGGTAAGAAAGCTATGGTCCTCCAGCTGTGATGCAACTTTAAAACCCATTAGGCATTGCAAGACTCTGACAGCCACAGGCATGACTCCCAGAGGCAGAAGCATGATGGGACTTGGAGTTTCACCACAGCTGGAGGGCCGGAGTTTTCCTACCCCTGCTTTAGAGTAAACACATAGCCAGTAAAAATTAGACTAATTACCACTGTCTTTAATAGAAGAGAGATCACTAACACTATCTCATCCCTATAATAATAGATTCCAGGCTGCCCGCTTGTGTGAAGCAGCTGAAACCTGACTGGTGATGTCCCTGATTGTGTGTGGCATAATGCACTGTGTGTCCACACACCTAACTGGTAGCAGAATAGGGTGACTGTTTGGCATATGTGTCTGGCATATGTGAGCTTGTTAATTGGATTCCAAGGCTAGCTAATCACTAATTTGTATCAATTGCCCCTCCTTTTTAGTTTGTAAGCTCTCACAGGCAGGGTTCTCCTAACCTTCTTGTCTTGAATTATATTGTATCTGTAATGTCTTCCTTATATTGTAAAGCTCTGTGCAATCTGTTGGCTACTTTATAAATCCTGTATTA